GTATTGTATTGTACTGCGTCATTGGTGCAGTAAAAATGGCAAACATTTCACAAATTCTGTCATGTAAACTTATGAGCACAACTGTGTAGCCTAAAAATTTGTTTTACTTTTGGACAGAGTAGAGAATGTTAGAAGCTCTGTCGGGTTTTATTGCTGTCTACGTCTCCACAGTGGACAGTCACCCTCTTTATTTGTCCTGGTGACCATTATCACTGAGACAGAAAGTGGAAAATATGAAATTTTAGAGTTGTCAGGGTAAACCTTTCAAACGCCTCTTTCTGTGACTGTTGTCTAAAAGGAAACTCCCCATCATTTTGCAGAGATTTCCTGATGTATCTCTGGGACAGGACATGAATGGAATGCACCCCAAACAGGATGTATATGGCAAAAAATAAACTCACAGGGGATTATACCTTTCGCTGCCCATCCAAAACAAAACAGCTTTGACTATACATACAGGTTACAATCTATGCCATCCAATTAGATTTAAAAATATATTTGATCTGATTGGCTTGTTGAGGGCAATAAACTTAATTTCTTTATATAATGTTACCACTAACTTGTTCAAACTGATGCCTTCTTACTGTATATGCCTTTCATAAATAGTTTAAAGTATAACATAAAGCAAAACTTTTATTTTAGCTTTGGTTAGATTGGAGAGGGATGAGAACCCCTGTCAGTTTTTATTGCTGTCTGTGCCCCATTAGTGAGATTCACCTTCTCTATTTGTCCTGTTGATTAAATTTTGAGTTGCATCCAGAACAGGAATAGATGTGATATCTTCCACTGGGGGCACTAGTTCTGGTGACTGGTGACAACCAGGGATTTCTCTCACTTTGAAGGGATTTCCTCCTACTTCCTATTTTGGCTATGCAACAGGAAGCAAAAAAAAAGTCTTTACAATGGGATACAGATGGTAAAAAACTGACTGAGGGTATAGCCCCCCCTTACTTTATTCAAAATGGAAAAAAAAGTTTGCCTTTAGTTCTAATTCAAATTAAAAATGGATTAGCAACTGCCTGCAGTCTTGAGTGTTCAGGGCCTTAAGCAAACAAGACATCATTATTTGTACGTCCAGTACCTAGAATATATATTACTGTATTATCGTTCTGAATTTTTCTCTTTAGTTTCTCTTTAGTTTCCACAACAAGAAGTGAATGTGTCAAAGTAAACTTGGCCACTCTCACAGAGTAGTTCCGCATAATGGCCTTTCCAAAGTTAAAGAGGAAATGTATCCAGAGGATAAAAGTGAAACGTTACTTATAAACCAAATCACACCAGTTGGTTGAAGTTGCAGCTGCATCAATTAGTAGTTGCATTAGTATTTTTCTTGAAAGTGTCTATTATATTATATAAATTGGATGATTCATCCACGTTCCAAGAATAAATTATTGTAATATACCGAAGTCATAAAAGAAAGATAGGTAGTGTGACAGAGGGAGGCTCTGTCACTGTGAGAATATAGGAAAATGTGACAAAGGATTCACATTTAGGGTTAATGCAAAGTTCCAGATTGCAGTTTCTGAGCAGAGAAAGCTGCGTTTTTGGCTTTTTCTGAATTCTGTGAGTCTGGATCAAACTTTGAATCTTGTGTTCTGGTTATTCCAGATGCCTGCAACCTGTATGAGTGCACAGGGGAGCAGGGTCATTATATCATTATATAGTTTGAGGAAAGCTCAGGGCTGTGGCCAGTTTGGATACCGCTCCCAGCGTGGGAGATGGAAGGTCTCACTTCAGAGGGCCCCAGCCAGAAGCCAAGAGACAGAGGGTCTCACCGAGGGGTCAGAGGTGCCCCTGCCAAAAGCCAAGAACCAGAAGGTCTTGCCCAGGGGGAGTCAGAGGTGCCCCATCCAAAAGCTGAGAACAGCGGGACCTCACCCAGGGGGGGTCAGAGGAGCCCCAGCCAGAAGTCAAGAAACAGTGGGTCTCACCGAGGGGTCAGAGGTGGCCCGGCTAGAAGCCAGGAGACAGCAGGTCTCAGTTCCAGGAGTAAGGTCGGCTCCTATCGGGGTGTCAGGAGAACCCCAATCCATAGGCCAGAGGTGGGCTGTGCAGCAGGGCACTGCGATTTAAGGCTAGAGAGCCAAACATTCCAGGTGAGCCAAAAACCACAGTCAAAGGGACTGGTTAGAGAAGCAGCAGTGCTACCAAGTGACTCAGGTGGCTTGGCATTTTCATTTATATATATGTGGAAGAAACCCCTGTGTGGGGCAACTGATGTGTCTGTGAACTTTTGTTTTCCTTTAAATAAAAGTGGGCTGCCATGCCCTAAACAGTTTTACCTGGCGCAACTCATTGAAAACACACCTACTGCTTGAGCTTAATCACCCCAATCCCACGATAGATAGATAGATAGATAGATAGATAGATAGATAGATAGATAGATAGATAGATAGATAGACACAGTGCTGTGAAAAAGTATTTGTCCCTTTCCTGATTTTTTATGTTTTTGCACATTTGTCACACATAAATTATTTAGAACATCACACAATTTTTTTATACTATGCAAAGACAGCCCAAGTAAGTACAAAATGCAGTTTTTAAATAATGATTTAATTTCTTAAGGGAAAAATGCTTTCCAAACTTTGCCGATCCAATGTGAAAAATTACTTGCCCCCCTCTGCTAAATCATAAATGAACTGTGATTAACCACATTTTTTGGACAGCTGTGTTAAATTTCACTTGCCTTACCCAGGCCTGATTACCCTCAGACCTGTTGAATTAAGAAATCACTTAAATAGAAGCTGTCTGACAAAGAGAAGCAAGCTAAAAGATCCTAAAAAAAGCAACACATCATGCCGCGATCTAAAGAAATTCAAGAACAGATGAGAAACAAAGTAATTGATATGTATCAGTCTGGAAAGGGTTACAAAGCCATTTATAAGGCTTTGGGACTCCAGAGAACCATGGTGAGAGCTATTATCCACAAATGGAGAAAACTTGGAACAGTGGGGAACCTTCTCAGGAGTGTCCAGCTTACCAAAATTACTCCAACAGCAAATGCAGACTGATCCACGAGGTCATAAAAAAACCCAGAACAACATCTAAAGAACTGCAGACCTCACTTGCCTCAGTTAATGTCAGTGTTCATGATTCAACAATAATGAAGAGATTGGGCAAAAATGGCCTCTATGGGAGAGTTCTAAGCCGAAAGCCACTGCTGACCAAAAAGAACACAAAGGCTCGTCTCAAATTTGCCAAAAAGCATCTTAATTATCCCCAAGACTTTAGGGCAAATATTCTGTGGACTGATGAGACAAAAGTTGAACATTTTGGAAGGTGTGTGCATTACATCTGGCATGAAACTAACACAGAATTTCATAAAAAGAACACCATATCAACAGTCAAACATGGTGGTGGTAGTGGATGACTTGCCATAATTGATGGAACCATGAATCTTGCGCTCTACTAGAAAATCATGAAGGAGAATGTCCAGCCATCAGTTCGTGACTTCAAGCTCAACAGCACTTGGGCTATGCAGAAGGGCACTGATCTGAAACACACCAGCAAGTCCATCTTCTGAATGGCTCAATAAAAACAAAATTAAAATTAAGGTTTTGGAGTGGCCTAGTCAAAGTCCAGACTTAATGCTGAACTCAATCTTTTGTTCCACTTTCCAGGATGTCCCTCACTAACATCTGAGGCCGCTGTATGTGCTGTATAAACTGTATGTAGCAGAGGCTACATGCAGCATACAGCACTGTGCTCTGGTCCAAACCGAGACCTTCCTGTCTCAGACCCAAAACACAATAGAGTCTAGCGAAGCGGTCCGATCTGGACCGAGTTAGAGGTTGTGACATCAACAGCAGCCTCTACTTTTTCATGACACTGTAGATACATAGATGTGGAGATAGATACAGTATTTAGATAGATAGATGGAGAGATAGATACAGTATATAGATAGATCGATCTGTAGCACCCTCCTAGTTAGGTGCTAGGATTTATACAGGTAGGATAGTATAGCTATGTTCCTCTGCTTAACAGAGAGACTGTTAGGTAAATTCAGGTTGGTATTCTGCTTAGTGACAGTAAACTTAAGTTAAAAAAAAAAATCTTCTCCCTTCAAGGTAATGTCATAATGTGCTAGTATGCATGGCATTCTAGCACATTATGAAAGACTTACCATAGTACGAACCCCCCCAGTGGTGCATTGTCACCACTGACACAGCTTCCATCTTCACCCTGTCTTCTTTCTGGGTTCCTGGGCTCTGGCCGCCTGATTGTCCAAACTGCGATGACATGATTACATTGGCCACGGCACAGAGCTCTGAAGGAACAGTACAGGTATGCGTGCCCATGACATCACCGGCTGCAGGAACACTGAAAATCTCCTAAACGGTGTATGTTTAGATATTCCTTTACCTACAGGTACACTTTATTATAAGCTTACCTGTAGGTAAAAGTCCCCAGTGGGAGTTTACTCCCACTTTAACCTCCCTAGCGGTCTGATTATTTCCGATTTTTGGTGCTGAAAGCGGTACCATTATTCTGCATGGAAATATGTAGTTTTTTTATTGTAGGCTGTAATATTTAGGAATAACTCACTGAAATCTGTCCGAACAAGAGTCTATTAAACATCCCGGGTATGACAAAATTTGAAACACAAAAATCATAAATTATAATTTAATAAATAATCATAAAAAAATAATAATATAATAATATTACATTTAATTCAATAATATAATCAAACCAAAAACACTGAAATTTGAAATATAGCGCCAAGTTCGCACATTGCTGAGCAAAGTCGCAAAATTGTTTTCAGTGTCTGATGACGAATTTCTCCACGAATCATTATCACTCAATTCTGCAAGTGGTTCTGATTTACTATCGCTGTTCTCTAGCTGATCTAAACCCCCTTTTGACCTAAAGGGACGCTTTTTGGACGCCGTGGACTTTTCTAAGTTTCCAGGCAGAAAGAACATTCAAAATGCTGACAGGGGACAGGACAGAGCACTAGGGACAAAATGTATGTGAAATGGGTTGAAACAGCAATGTTTTACTATGAAAAATCGTTTTGAAAAATATGAAATTTTTTTTAAATTTTCAAATTTCCCGCCGCCGGCGGCGGCGCCTGTACATCCTGACGTCACAGGGACCGGAACACAGGAGCCGGATGCCGGCATCTGCCGGAGGAGATGGCCGGGGACACCGCAGAGAACACATCGCTGGAGCGAAGGACAAGGTAAGTGCTGCAGGGACTCCCTATACAGCGCTGCATGGTAAGCCCGAGTGTAGCTCGGGGTTACCGCTTTTGGTATAGAAATTTTACCCCGAGCTACACTTGGGAATACCGTTAGGGAGGTTAACAGAGCGCTGCAACTGATTATTCAGAACTGCTCATGATGCTCTGGAGCTGTTTAAGTTTGTCTTGAGCTCTATTGCCTTCAGAAAGAACAAGAGCCTTCCAGAAGATAGGCAGGAGCTAGGCAATTGGACAGCATAAATATGAATACAGCCCTGGCCAATTGCTGAGGAGGGTGACCCCTTGCATGCTGGGAGCTGGTATTTATGTTCTGTGAGCACATGGGCTCAAGGTCTTTCCTGGAGTGGATTGCACCAAACCAGGCTGAAGGCAGGCTTGCCTCGCCTGGTCACTGCTGCCATGTGACCTCAGGTGGGTGACCTGAGGGTCCAAAGAAGGAAAGTGTTAGGCCCCCTTTGGTTCTTTGTCTTACACTGTACAGCATATGAGTTGGGCTGGTACCTGACTGGAGGAATGGTATGGGGATGCATCAGAAGTGAATCCACCTGGAGCAGCGATACAATGCTCATAGTAAAAATAGTATGTTTAAAAAGAAGAATTTGATTGTTCCACAGTAAATGTCATCCTGCTAGGCTCCGTTCACATTTGAGCGCCACAGAAGCGTCACATTTTCCGCACAATTTTGTAGTGCATTTTTGGAGCAACATCATTCATTTGAATAGGCTGTCCACTCCAAAAACATGCCAAAGGAGCTCCTGTATCCTATTCTGGAGCTGACTTTGGCATGATTGTGAATAGCATGTATGATGTGTTTTTTCTGGCACTTTACTGCACAACAAAAAGCTAATTTCTTTATGCATTTGGGTTTTCAATAATCCACTCAAATGGTACTCAAACGCCCACTGTACACTTTGCTGTGCTTTTAGCATGTTTCAGAATTGCGGGCAGAATTGTGTGATTCTACTGCTCTGAGATGTGAACAAGGCCTAAGAATTTACATCTACATTAATAAACTATAGATGTCTCCCAAATACTATGAAATATGATGGTGCTATATAAATTAATAATAAGTCTGATGTCCCAGTAGCCATCCTGTTGCTGGTAAGAACTAACCAGCAGGAGGGTCGCTATACGGTACATGGCGTGAAATATACTAAATACTCACCTACTTGTATGTATCGCCCCCTCTCCGGCTCCATGTTGTTCTCTCAACATTGCCAGCGAGCAGGTGGCATATACAAGCAAGTGCTTTGCCTGCATATCTTAGGATCACCGGTGTGACATTGGTCTAATAGGTAGGCCCCTTATACATGGGATGTCTAGCTCCTGTGCATGCAATCCCAGCATTTTATTGCATTAAGGAGGCAAAATCTATGGCAAGCTCAAATAAGCTGTGGCTGGACAGGGTCTGTACCAAGTGGTATTCATGTTTATGGTCCTATGTATTCAGGGATGAAAGTCCAGAATGCAGCCATTCGCTTATGATCCGTGCTGATGTACTATATTATTAGTAACAGTTTACATATACTGTATGTACTATACACTACCGATTTATAAAGTCAGACCGACAAAAAGCAACATTTCCTTCTTAGCTTTGACAGTCGGAGGCAGCTGTCTGCAGTAAAATGTGGAGACACAGGTTGTCTGATAGAAGATATTACCTGGTTGATGATGACCTTTACCAACCCAGCTTATGTTTAAATTAAACCTTGTATAAGAATTTAAAGGACCAAAGAATAGTAAGTCCAAAATTACATCACTTTTTTGTACGGATCAGGGTTTCTCAACCAGGGTTCCTTGATGAGCAAATTCTGCCTCTCAGATAAGTTCCCACTGACACCATTGATCTTTTTAGCTATCTAAGGGGGTAATTCTTCCCATTGACCTCAAGTATAAGGAGCATTCTTCCCACTGGCCATCACACTAATGTTGTAGAAGAAAATGAAAGAAAGAGCGCACAAACTTTGCGCATTACCTCAATAAATAGTGACTAATTTTATTATAAAGGAAATATACTCACAAGTGATGGTATAACAGGCATAAGTAACCATAATCCAAAAAAGGGTTACAGGTAAATCCAAAAGAGGGGGGGGGGGGGGGGGAAAATGAAGGCTAACGCGTTTCGAAGGGTGCTCCCTTCTTCATCAGACTGACTAAACAGGCTGAACTGCTGTAATACTGACACTCAGTGGCTGAATATCTCCTTGCCATGGGAACTCTGCCATACTGAAGTCTCTATCTGCTCAACCCAGCTCTGATGAAGAAGGGAGCACCCTTCAAAACGCGTTAGCCTTCATTCCCCCCCTTTTGGATTTACCTGTAACGCGTTTGTGCGCTCTTTCTTTCATCTTCTTCTACAGTTTTATCAAGCTTCCCCAGCTTCATGATAGAGCTGCACAACCTCTGATCACCAGCGGATGAACACACAACACGCTACTTGTTACTAACGCCCGTTTGATCTGAGCCTTTGAGTGCAGGAGATAATGGATCTTTCATCACACTAAGGTTTTTTTTACCTTAACTCCTTGGTGCTGGTGCCTCCCGGCCCTTTAAAGGGTTTGTGATGCGGAGAAGCGGGGTGGGGTTTAGGGTCATGTGACCGCAGTGATTGGTAGTCACATGATCAGAAAGCTCCCGACCGTAAATAGTGATTGGGATCTTTCCGTGAGGCGACGGTAAATGTGCCGGGAGCGCAGGACACACGCCACACATCTTTTGTTTACACTGGGTATGTAAATATGTGGTACACTCGGCGCCAAGGCGCAGCCACCGAGAGGCCACATATTTGCATATGCTCGGCGCCAAGCAGTTAGTGCATAGAACGGTCACTGCAAGGGGATCTTTTTCCTGTTGGGAGTGGGGCTTTGAAACACCATAATATACTGTACCTAGTAATGAAAAACTCTTATTAATTTCTGTTAGCAAATTGTTTATACGTATGACATATTTTTATAACATAGATATATAGAAACTGGTGAAGTGAATATTTTTACCAAACAGTCCATTTGTGTAAAATGAAAAGGGTCGATTTACTAAAGTAGAGACTGTTTTCATAGCAATGTGACACTGAGCTTTGTAGAAAAAAAGACTGTGCTCTTATATATATATTTATTTATTTTTATTATTTTATATGTTTTAAAAAATTGGGTGTCTTAATGTATTTAAAATTAAAGTTTATATTTTTTTCTCCTTTTTTTGTTGGCATTTTGGCATTGTACCATTTGGAAAATGATTAATTTAAAAAAAATGATTGATTGAAGCTTCATCTTATTTACTAAGCTCAGTGAGCAGAAAGTGACCAATCTCTACTACTTTAGTAAGTTATTATTATTATACAAATCAATCCTATTGGCTCAGCATAGTAGCCAAGCAACTAGCATTTTCAGAAGGAGATGTCAGTAACGGCAGCCTCATACAGGTTTCCTTTCCTGTCCAGCCCATCTCTGTCCAAAGATGTTACTTTTTATTCTACCTGTACATGTCATCCTGATGTTTTTTTTTTTTTTTTTTTACTTTCCTACAAGTGAAGATTTCCTCTGTTTTGCCCTATAAGACATCATCAAATGGCCATAGAGGTCTTCATTCTGCTGGATGTGGAATCCAATAGGGCATATTGGAAGTGTCACAGTGGGGGGGATTTACTAAAGCTGGCTCACTCAGAATCTGCATGTTAGCCAATCAGTTTCTAACCTCAGCTTGTTCAATTAAGCTTTGGCAATAAAACCTGGAAGCTGATTGGTTTCTATGCAGAAGTGAGCCTGATTTTGCACTCTCCAGCTTTAGTAAATGAACCCCAATGTGACCCATTGGACTACATGGCTAAGACTGATTGGCATTAATGAGAAGGGAGTGACAATACTGACATCTCTCCTCCTTAGTGTGTGCAATGACACAGGTGCACAGGGTGACAACGCTGCAGGGAACTCACTGCGGGTGAAATAGTGCTGGTGTCCGGCAACAGAAAGTATTCTTTGAATGCTAGAGTCACTATTGTTTATTTGTTAAGGACGTTGAACGTGATGATTCTTAATTATTGGGAATAGATAGATATAGTTTAATCATATAAATGACCACATATGTCTCTGCCCCTGAGCAAGTATGCCAGTCATAAGTGTCAACTTCATTCTGACTTTCCTAATCTGTATTCATTACAATGTATTAGGTTAAAGCAGAGCTGCACAAAAATTGTAGCTGCTGACTTTTAAAAAACAGGCACTCACCAGTCCCAGGATCCAGCAGTGTCCTCACCACAGCCACTTTCACTAATCGCTCATAAGCTTTAATATGTTAAAGTGACACTAAAGCTTTAGGTTTTTTTCTAAAATAACAAGCAGGTCTATACTTACCTGCTCTGTGCAGTGGTTTTTAACAGAGCAACCCCAATCCTCTTTTTGGGTCCCCGCCGGCTCTCCTGGCCCTGAGGGCACCGATGTGTGCTGGTCCCCGAGCTTATCTCTGCACCCATAAGACACATAGAGCCACAGCTCTCTCATTGGCTCACTGGCTGTGATTGACAGCAGCAAGAGCCAATGGGCTCCCGCTGCTGCCTCAGCCAATGAGGAAGAAGAGTCCCCAGACAGCGACAGCAGAGGCTGTCGAGAACATTGCAGGATCGAAGGGGGCTCGGGTAAGGATTTAGGGGGGGTCTGGTCTACAATGCGTAGAATACATGAAGGTAAAAAACCTTGAGCCTTTAGAACCACTTTATTGTTAATTTAAAAGCTGTTTTCAGTATTTTTTACCTGCAGCTTTTATTAGAATACTACCTACTGATCCAGCTATAAAGATCACTTCCTTGTATGGGGTGACAACGCTTTGTCCCTGTCTTCCAATTGTGCTACTGCATTGTCACACAGGCTTCTGATGGAAACTGCAAGGATCTATTTCATCACATATTATGCAAGCATTGTCCACTGTTGTGATCAAAACATCCACTCTGAGAATTGTATTGTAGTCATCCCTGGAGTGCATATAAACAGGAGGTGGCTGCAAAGAGGCTGCAGGAGATCAGCAGCACTGAGGTACAACAAATGATATAAAGATGGCAACAAAGATTTTACT